ACCATAATAGCCATTGTTCTAGTCTACACGCAACATTTTTGTTCTCATTCATGGAACGCTTAAATCAGGGACATTTCCGGGGACAGCTTTAGCCATCCAATACAGGGACTGTCCCCAGAAATCGGGATCGTCTGTTAGTTAAGTTAAGTCATAGTACTAGCCACCAAACATCTTTTATCTTTGCCTGGTTTCTTTAGCAAAGAGACTAAACACAACTCACCTACTCTCTACCAGCAGCTGCTTGTTTGTATGGAGACCTCCGGGCAAGTCCATCGACTGCAGTGGGGTGACGCAGCTCAAAGAGGAACATTTATGATCATTTCTTCATGAAAATGCAATCAGACCGAGACGCTAAGGCAGGAGAACTACTGTGTCTGCAGAGCAAAATGATTAATATGGTTATAGAGTGGCGTTTTGGTTGATCACATGGCTCTCTGTATTGCTATCTGCGGTTGTTACTAAAGTTGGTATAACTAGAGAAGCAAGCGGTCGGCAACATTCATCTCTCGAGGGGGTGTCTAACTCGGTGTTACGGTGTGTTTGACCCTAACTTAATTTTACACCGGAATATCCCTTTAACGAAGAGTTTCCCTGAGTGAAAACGGTCACTTTTTGAGAGTTTTGGTCCTTACTTAGTGACGCCTTGATTGCATTTAGGTTGTCTATTACAAGGCAATTCATAATTAAAACTTGTAAATAACTTTCCCCTCTAGCTAGCACGTGAAACAGAAGCTGCATATAATCATTACATCAGTGGTCATATCGCCCTCTTTCACCTCTGCAGATGGCTGTCCTTCATGAGTCTGGTCCTGCTCGAGTCATTGTTAATACGATAAGCATCTTGAGATAAAAATTGATGTAAACTGGTGTTGTTTAAATAAAGACTGATTGATACGGTCGTTATGGAAACTACCTTAGTTTTTATGTTGACATTTGGCGTGTGTCGACAAAATCCAAAAAGTTCTCAAAGTTCCTCCATGTTGACTGAAGGTACGCGCCTCAAACAGACTGTTCATAATAAAGATAATCAGCAGCTTAATGAGATAACTTGTTACTCACAGTTTTGAACTAAACTGCTCGAGCCGAGACCTTTTTGTTTGTGAATCGTGAGCAAACATCCGAGCTAAAAACTGCCTGTAGCTCCTCGCAGCGTTTTAATGTCACCGTTAATTAAAAGTGTTTTATTCTTGAGCCCACAGCTCGCTAACATTTACTCTGAGAGATGAAGAGAGAGCGGAGCGAATTTCCCCCCCATGCAGGTTTGAATACAACACGAGCTGTGTGTGTGTTTAAAGATGCAGACCTCACTACATTTATGTTATTGCTTTGGCTGACTGCAGCACTTTACTCTGAACATGATGAAACCACTCCTAAAGTCGGTGTAATTCCTCAATCATGCGCTCGGTTACATCTGCATGATGTTGATACTGTATTTAAGGAGTTAAATCAGACTGAACTTCTAGATGCAAATCGAACTATCCGTACATTTCTGTCCAGTATGTAAATGAGAATCTCCCTGATATTGATTTCCTGTATATGCAGCCGTCACCTGAACTCATCGCCTCGTCTCCTGAGGAAAGAAGAACACCATCTGTATGCAGAAATCCTCCTCCATATGTATGATTCTGGAGGAACAATGTAAAGTCAACACTTTTTCTCTGGGAGGCAAAAACTTCCATTTTTTTATGAGCTTGACCAAAAAAAAAAAGAGTCATTTCCTCTCTTGTTTGGCGTATTTTCAGTTCTGTTTCCAGCTCCTCTAAGTGTGTTTATTCGCCTATGACAGCCCGTGTGATTGGCTGTCTCAAGTGGCCGCAGATGTGTCCCACCTGTTGATTGGCAAACATATCCACAGGCCGTTTTTTTTTCCCTCCGACTGCAGCTCGCAGCGGTCCGTCAGGGTTAGCTGTGATCCGGCCCCGACAGGAAGGCTTTGACTGGAGTGAAAGATAACTGACGGCTTCAAGCGGAGGCTGTAAAAATAGTGTTTTCAGCGGATAGCTATTAGGCAGCTTAATGCAGGGATTTCAGGGCTTGTGCTTATTTGGAGATTATGACTTGTCAAACTGAGGTGTAACTAATGTGTGCACAACAAATGAAGTGTTCCGGCGCCGGAGTCCTGCTGTGCCGGATCATTGTTACACTCTCATTAATGTCATTAACTTCTTGTTTTTTTCCCGCTGTGGCAAATCAGGATGGTGTGAAAGGTCTTTAAAGCATTAGTGAGAGATTGCTTAAAGGTAGACATTTTAATACAACGATAAATGAGTTTTAACAGCAACATAATTGTATTTTAGAATTGAGACAAGTCCTCTTTAAGCTCTTTAACAGACTGAGATGAATATTGATGTCTCTTTACGAGCCACAGAAGAAAACACGACCATGAGCATAAAGATGGTTAATTTTCTGAATGTCTGAAAACACCGCAGGGGGATTAGGTAACGGATAATAAACACAAGGTTGTCTAGCTTTTACTGTTTTCTTTAATTATTTTTTTGCTATTTCGTTTTTTTTTTTTGTAGCAAAGTCAAAACAATCTGAGGTAACATTATCCACAAGAGGGCGCCAAAATCGACAAAAAAAAACAACTCGTCTTGATTATTGCAATGCGCTTTATTTTGTTTTATCTGGTCGCTGTAAATATGACCACATTTCCCCTATAGCCTCTCTTCACTGGCTTCTTGTGCGTTTTAGCTTTGATTTTAAAATTGTGTTTTTAACTTATAAATCTTTAAACAGGCTTGCTCCTTTTTATCTCTCTGACCTTTAAAACCCTATATCTTGTCTTGGACTCTCAGATCCTCTGACCAGTGCCTTCTGACTGTCCCTAGATCAAGATTAAAGTTCAGGGGTGACCGGGCTTTTTCCGTTGCTGCGCCTAAGCTCTGGAAGTTATATATATATTTTTTTTGTAGGACGGTAGGGGAAAGTCCCGCCTCCTTCACCTCTGATTGGCTAAAAAAGCTGGAAACGTCTTGTCAAGCTCAAGCTAAACGCGGGCTGTCGGCTCTGTACATCGGACACAACATTATCGCACCTCTGAATCTCCTAATCCTACCCCTAACCCGACAGATGATGACGTTTCACAGCCATAAGGAATAACCAATCGGAGCTCAGCACTTCTAGCCAATCTTTGCTTCTTTTTTGACCTCTTGTTTTTAACATTTTGATATGTTTTAGTCTCTTAGTTCAGTTCGTAAGGAGGCTGTAACAACAGCAACAGCAAATAGAGCGTCTGAAATAGAGGGCTAACTGGCTGATTTGTGGAGCGTGAGCTGCAGGAGTGTTTGCACAGCGTGAGTGTTTGTCCCATAAAACCAGCCGGCATGCAGAGTTGTGCAGAAATTACGATCATCTGTAGCTCCTCACCCACTTTGTTTGTCCCTCTTGACCCCTCTGCAGGAGCTTTTAGAGTCTGGACTCTCTTCCCAGCCTGAACGCGCCCCGCCTTATTGTCTATTTTTATTCCTCTTGAGAAAACCTTATCTCGTATCTCCAAGAGGACTCTTGACCCAAATTATGTCTTCTGAGGACTAAGTGTTTCCTCTGTACGACAGATAAGACCGTCACCACCAACAGAGACTGACCAGGAACATTTAGTTTCACTTGATGAGGAGTCAGACTCCCTTCAGCGCTCCAACACTGACATCGACATTTTTGCTGCTGCCGGCGCCAACCCTCACCCGTTTGATTTTTCACGTCACTAAAAACAGAGGCTTTTGAATTTGAGTGAAATGATAAAGAGCAGAGTCCCAAATCCACATTTACCATCGGATCTCAGCTAATTGTGTAAATTTCCTAAAGTGTAATATTTTGGGTAAATGTGTCAGCTTAATAAGCGAAGTGAAGTCCTGCTCAAAGGTCAGAGGAGCGGTGAGTGTGGTTAGAGGTTTCTGTTCAGGTTTTGACCTTTAGCGGTACAGTGGAGCTGTTGTTTTTTTCCCTGAGTGGGTCTCAGTTTTGTTTGTCTGCGTCTCAGTGAGGTCCAGGCGTGTGGCTGCATACAGACGCCGTGATGCAAATCTGTCACACAGTTTCCCTAAACTAACATGGTGGTTTTTTTGTGCTGATTTATGCAGCAGGAAAAGAAAGTCTGTGACCTTGTCGAGTGAGGTGGATTTGTTAGTTTAAGATCGATGAAGAAAAGACTCTGCCTGTTTCAAAATATATCCAAATGCTGGTGTAAATCCTGCCTTTTACTTTATTCTAATAGTGTTGCCTCTTCTGTCACTCTCTTCTCTTTGTAAGTCCAACCCTGGTGCTAGCTCACCCCGTTTGTGTGAGACCGGTCATACTCATTTCTACTTTCCATCATGTCAGTGTCAGTCTGGGAAACATCTAAAGCTGCTTTGCATAATCCGCAGCTCAAACCCTCTCTAGCTTTTTCTGACATCCATGAAAACACTCATCTTCTTTCCAAGCTGTGACTGAAACTCCTTGTTTTGGGTCCTTAAAGTGAAACACTTGTGGGTGTTACATTTTACACAGTTTAAGAGAGTTTCTCGCAGAAATCGCAGTAGCAAATCTGGTAAAGACTGCATCATTAGTCAAAGGTGATGCCGTTATTGTAATATATTGTTGTGGGGAAATAACTCAGACGGAGACTTGACCGAGCGTGGAGAGCGGGACTTTTATCTCATGTAGACAAAAGCACGTAACATACACACGTTACTGAACGTCATAACTCTATATAACCACAAGTGGGCAGTGTCCTATAATGGTATCTTGTCAATACACTACACTCCTCCCCTTTAAACTTTAACCCCAAAACTCCAAATACTGCAATTAGCTTAGAAATACGGTAACAGACAATTTACTTCGTATAACTTAAAGAGTCTTCTTCAGTAAATTAAACGGTGTTGTCTCATTCATTTTTTTTTTCAAACTCCAGCTGCTCATAAACAACAGTTAACTTCACTTTTACTAATAATTAACTATTCAGAAACAACTAGAATAATCAAAAGCACTTGAACCAAAAAAGGATATGGTTTCCTAGCTTTTCAAAAAGTCAGTCTTTTGGGTGGAGCCCGCAGACGCTCTGGATAGCGGCGCTCAGTTTGTTGGGTGGTGACTGAGACAGCCACTGGCTCTGCTGGTTTCACTGGTGTACTGCTGTACTGGGCTGAAGAGTGTGTACAGGATGCAGGGCTGAGTCTTTCAGGGAGAGTTGCAGGTTTCACCAGAGAGTGAGCTGGTGCTGGAGTAGCAATCCTCCGCTCTGCCTCCTGGATGCTGCTTCTTGGGTGTAGTGAATCCAGATCTGGTGTCCGGTAAGCATCATCACTTGAGCTGTTGTCATCCACAGCTTTTTCATGCAAGAGTAACAGGTGATCAATGTGAACTGTGCGTTCTCTCACACCATCATTTATCAGGTAAGAAACAGGTCCAAGTCGTTTTACAACTGTCCCTCTCATCCATTTCTCCTTTCCCTCACGAAAATTTCTCACAGACACCTGGTCACCCGCCGACAACTCTCTCAGCTTGGTCCTGCCTTTGTCATGGTATTTCTTCTGACTTTGTTGTTTCTCCTCAACAGTTCCAGCCAGACATGGTTTCAGAAGACTAAAACGGGTCCTCACTTGACGTTTAAGAAACAACTCAGCTGGTGAAACACCTGTTACAGTGTGCGGTGTGCTTCTGTACATCAGTAAGAAATTTGCCAGTCTATGCTGCAATGTAACAGAACCCTCATCTTCCAACACTTGCTTCATCAATGCAGATTTCACTGTCTGCACTGACCTTTCAGCTGCTCCATTAGAAGCGGGATGATACGCTGGGACCAAGGTTTGTTTGATGCCATTTCCTCTCAGAAACTGCTTAAATTCACTTGATGTGAATTGAGGCCCGTTGTCTGAAACAACTTCCTCAGGCAGTCCATAAGATGCAAAAATGTTGCGCAGAACTTCAATAGTTTTAGCTGATGTTGTGGTTGTCATGGGAACCACCTCCAACCATTTTGAATGACTGTCAACAAGGACTAAAAAATACTGTTTATCTTTCTCACAAAAATCTATGTGTATCCGTTGCCACACTCGCGTTGGCCATTTCCAACAATGCAGTGGAGCCGCTGCTGGTAGTTGTCTCACTGTCTGACATGCATTGCACTCTTTCACAGTTTTTTCAATGTCTTTATCCAGGCCGGGCCACCACATGTAGCTCCTTGCTAAGGCTTTCATGCGACACATACCAGGATGACCCTGGTGAAGATCATGCAGCAGCTTTGGTCTGAGAGCTGAGGGGACTACAACTCTCATTCCCCAGAGGACACATCCTTGTTCCACTGATAGTTCAGTTCTTCTGATGGAGAATGGGTTGAGTGTCTCCTCCCTTGCATGACTTGGCCATCCATTTAGAGTGAGCTCCCTAACTCGGCTAAGCACCGGATCTTTGTTTGTGCTCTGTGCGATGTCGCTGGCTTTCACAGGTAAATCCTCCATCAAAGAGAAATAGAAGATCTTTCCTTCCTCAGCAGTGCTGTCTCTGACTTTACTTGGCAACCGGGAGAGCGCGTCTGCATTTGCATGCTCTGCAGACTGGCGATACTCTATGTCATAGTTATAAGCCATCAATATGAGCGCCCAGCGCTGCATTCTCAAAGCGGCTAGTGTGGGGATAGCTGACTTTGGGCCAAGGATTGCCAAGAGTGGTTTATGGTCAGTAATGAGAGTAAATTTCCTCCCATACAGGTATTTGTGAAACTTCTTCACTCCAAAAATTATAGAGAGGGCTTCCTTCTCTATTTGAGCATATTTGCTTTCTGCCTCTGACAATGTGCGAGATGCAAATGCTATGGGCTTTTCTTCTCCATTCTCCATCACATGAGAGATAACAGCGCCGACACCATAAGGCGAAGCATCACAGGCTAGTTTCAGTGGCTTTCTGGTGTCATAGTGAACTACTAGGGTGCTCTGCAGTAGTTGATCTTTTGCACTTTTGAACGCAGCCTCACATTCTACTGTCCATTGCCAAACACTTTCACGTCTCAGTAAGTTATGCAAAGGTTGAAGCTGCATGGACAGATTTGGCATAAACCTGCCATAATAGTTCAGTAGTCCCAGGAAGGAACGAAGCTCTGTGACATTTGTGGGACTTGGTGCGTTTACAATAGATTTCACCTTCTCTTCTGTGGGGTGAAGCCCCTCACTGTCAACCATGTGTCCCAAATATTCCACTCTGTCTGCCATGAACTTACATTTTGCTTGCTTGACCTTTACATTATACTTTGCCAGGCGACTCAACACTTCCTCCAGTTTGCGCAGATGTTCCTCTCTCGAACCAGCTGTGATTAAGATGTCGTCCAGGAAACAGGTCACATGCTCTATTCCCTGTAGGATTTGGTCCATCACTGCTTGGAAGATGGACGGGGCACTTGAGACTCCATATGACAGTCGGTGGTAAGTGTACAGTCCTCGATGTGTGTTGACTGTAAGGTACTTCTCTGAGTCCTTATCCAACTCCAACTGCTGATAGGCATGTGATAAGTCCAGTTTAGTGAACAGCTTGCCTCCAGCCAATGTTGCAAAAAGATCTTCTGTATTGGGCAAAGGATAAGTTTCCTCTTCCACACACTGATTTATGTTCACTTTGTAATTTCCACAAATCCGGATTGATTTGTCAGCCTTTGGCACAGTCACAATGGGTGCAGCCCATTCACTTTTGTCTGTTTTTGATATGATTCCCATAGCCTCTAATCGGTCGAGTTCTTTTTCCACAGCCTCTTTTAGAGCATATGGCACTTGGTTGGCTTTTCTAAATATTGGCTGCGCACCTGGCCTCATCTTGATCGAAGCCTTGAACTCACGGATGGTGCTAGGCCCTTCCTCAAACACTCCCTTGTGCCTCTGTAGGATTGCTGCCACTTCTGGGTCAATAGCTTCTCCTACTACTTTGACTTGGAATATTTCCTTCCAGTTCAGCTTAAATTTCTTGAGCCAATTTCTGCCCAGTAGTGCTGGTCGGTCGCCTTTCAAAATAACCAGTGGTACTTTGGCTGCTTGTTGTTCATATTCCACATTCACCTCCACCTTCCCCAACACTGGGATGCGTTCTCCAGAGAAAGTAGACAGCGGTATTTTACATGGGCTAAGTGGCAAGTGAGCGAGCGATGTCTTGTAAGTGATCTCTGATACAAGAGACACACATGCTCCTGTGTCCAACTGCATCTGAATGTTCTGGCCTTCAATGTCCATGTCAACCACATAGCCATCTTTACCATCTGAAGTTGTGTATACTACGTACAGTCCAAACAAGTGTTCATTATCCTCATCCGCTGGGCTTGTTTCAGCCTCCTGTTCAACATAATGAGTCTTTTGTGGTGTCTTTTTATTCCTGCACATGCGTGCAATGTGTCCCACTTTTGTGCAGTGGTGGCATTTTTCCTGTTTAAATCTGCACACAGCAGGTGGGTGTTTACCTCCACATCTGTAGCAGGGCTGGTGTAGCTGTTGCTGCTTGTCATCCACGCTGCTCTTGTGCCAGGATGTACTCTTGCTGTAGCTTGTGTCACTTGATTTTCTTTTGTCATCTCTTTTTTTACTCTGGTTGAACACTTTATTGACTGTTGCATCCTCTTTAATTTTTCCTGAGAATTCCAAAGTGTTGCGTGAAGCCATCTCCATGGACAGTGCTGTGTCACATGCACTTTTAAACGTCACATTTTTCTCTGCCAGCAATTTTCTCTGTATTGCCTCTGATCTCAGTCCACTCACAAACCTATCACGGAGAGCATCGTCCAGGTGAGCTCCAAAATCACAGTTTGTTGACAGGTGTTTCAGAGCTACCATATAGTCACTTACAGATTCACTCTCTTGTTGATTTCTCTTCTGAAATCGAAACCTCTCCATAATGACAAGTGGTTTGGGCTTGTAATGGTCACTAAGTGCTTTGGTGAGCGCTGCATAACTTTTCGTGCTTGGCTTATCCGGCAGGAGTAAACTTTTCAAAAGTCCGTAGGCTTCCGCTCCAATTAGCGACAGAAAAACGCTGACTTTCTTTTCATCGTCCACATCATTTGCTGCCATCCACTGTTCCATCCTCTCCAGGTAAGATTCAAAATCTTCCTTACCCTCTCGGTATTCCGACATGTTGCCGATGAGAGCCATTGCTGCAGTCCGCCGTTAATAACAGTAGCAGTCACGTTAGCTTGTTAGCTCGTTTGTTAGCCACTCACGTTGGTGCCACAATCTTCCTTTCTTGTGATCTGCCTGTTATAACTTCATGTCTCTCGTCTTCCGGGATGCTTTTCTTTCTTTTAGCATCCCATCCTCGTCGCCAAACTGTAATATATTGTTGTGGGGAAATAACTCAGACGGAGACTTGACCGAGCGTGGAGAGCGGGACTTTTATCTCATGTAGACAAAAGCACGTAACATACACACGTTACTGAACGTCATAACTCTATATAACCACAAGTGGGCAGTGTCCTATAATGGTATCTTGTCAATACACTACAGTTATGACGTCTGAATCTCCACTCGCTCCATCAGTACCCTCACAGCGTTTCTGCTGAAGTCCTTGAGTTTAAACCACCTGATGATTCAGCCTTCAGGAATTATCAGCTTACTGCTTTTTCTGTATCTGTTCCCCTCCTACTAGAGCAATCCTTCTCCTCTGAGTAACCTGGTAACAGATGTGAATCCACAGCTGCCAATCCAAACGGAGGATGCGATTAATTCCCAGCCTGACCACTCGTCTTCTTGAGCTGCCAGTTCTGTGTGTCTAAGCTTTTCCAATTATATAGTCTATACCCTCCACATGCTGCGATGCTACAGCGAGCTGTGTAAGGTCTGCTGAGTGTTAAACTACAGCTCTGTTCTTATTTTACGCCGCTGCTAACAATATCTCAAGGGGCTGCAGCCGCCGCCCTAAACCTGCTCACTCCCAGACTCCACCCTCCACCCGATCATACCGGTGTTTCACTTTCCCTCCTGCTTCATCCTCCATCGAGTACAACGGTAATTTAGAGCAGCTCAGAGAACTGATAGCTGTCCGCTTTAAGGATAAATTGCTTCCTTCCTTCTCCTCAACACTTGACAACTTGAATATACGCTGTCAAGTGCGCTGACCTTGGGAAACATTCACTTGGCAACCAGAAGAGATTTTCCAAAGTGCTGAATGCAGAGGAAATGTACGGCTGTCATAGTTCCCGGCTGAGCGGTTGAGCATGTGAACGCACCATTCGTCAAATCCAAAAACCCACTTTTGCTTTCGCTGCAAACATTTCCTGGAGGCCCATTTCTCAGATGTATTATAGGAATATTAATGCTGTGCTATGATGTTGTAGCAGCGTTTAAATATTCATAATGCTTAACAACCATGATTATTGCAGAGCACTCTTTAAAGACTTCAGAGTTCAAGTTTCAGCACTTCATAAATGCTGGTTTACAAAAACGTAGACAACCTCGTAAAGAATCTGCAGTCTGTGAATCACTGCTGACTGCAATGCTGAATGTGTGTGTGTGTGTGTGTGTGTGTGTTTGTGTGTGTGTGTTGTGTGTGTGTGTGTGTGTGTGTGTGTGTGTGTGTGTGTGTGTGTGTGTGTGTAATGTTGTGGGGGCAAAACAAAGACAACAAACTAAAGGTGCAGTGATGCTAAGAGGAAGAGACTGGACCAATCCCACTCTCCACCTGTTCCCAGTGAGTGTGTAAGTGCTTGGACAGGAACCTATTAAGGACTTAAGTTATAGACTTTCCAGAGTCTGCATGGTCGTACAGCCCTTTATCCATACACTGTGAACAAATTAAAGGTGCAGTGCATAGCATTTAGCAGGATTTAGCAGAAATGAAACAGTGTGAAATAAGTTTTTATGACCAAACTTACAAACAAAATTTCTTCTGGCAGCTAGCATCACAAAAAAAAAAGCGCCATATGCTGCGCTCCAGTTAATTCAGAAGTCAGAGCTGGGAATTATGTTACACCCAAGTTGACGGTGTTCCAGTCAAAAAGTCAGAAAAACCAAGATGGACTCGCACTGCTAGCCATTAGTCACTGTTGTTAACAATCAGCTGTCGTTACCCATTGTCAGCTGTTGTTAGCCATTGTTAGCTGTCATGAGCCGTTGTCAGTTGCTGTTAGCTGTTGTCAGTTGCTGTTAGCCATTGTTAGCTGTCATTCGGTTGGCCTGTGTCAGCTGTCATTAGCCACTGTTTGCTGTTGTTAGCCGTTGTAAGTTGCTGTTACCCGTTGTTAGCTGTCGTTAGGTTAGCCGTTGTCAGCTGTCATAAGCCACTGTCATCTATTGTTAGCTGTTGTAAGCCGTTGTTAGCCATTGTCAGTTGCTGTTAGCCGTTGTTAGCCATCATTAGGTTAGCCGTTGTTAGTTGTTGTTAGCCGTTGTTAGCTGTTGTTTACAATTATCAGCTGTTGGTAGCCGTTTTCAGCTGTTGTTAGCTGTTGTTAGCTACACCGTTTGTAAACAAGGCATTACACAGTATTTTACTCTTACAAACACCATACCACTGTTTTCACAGTTAGAAAACAAAACAAAACAAAACAGAAGTGCTAATAAATAATACATTACGATAACTAAAACTGTTACTCTTTACTGTTAATGCACTGCGGTGCCATCTTGGATTATGACATTGTCATCAAGTCGGAGTTGGCGAGGATTGTCTGACATTCTAAGTCAGAAATCCGACTTCAGGGGGGCGTTCCAGATTAATTTTTCAACTCTGAGCTCGGGAATCCCTACCCTTAAGTACATCTGGAACGTATCATAAGTGTCCAAACAGCATTCTTTAACAAGGTAGCAAATCTCATTATGACACCTACTGTAATGAGTTAGCTCTACGCTTAAAATAACACCACTAAAAACACACAAAGACAAAGCTCCTCTAAACACCAAAGTCCCAGCATGCATCTGTGCTAGATTCCAGCCTAAATGGCTCCATCCATCACTAAGCGACCTGGATGGGAAAAAGAAAAAAAGGCAGGCAAGAGAGGCAGAGGCAGATTCAGAGGCCATCCCAGATATCGATTTTATTTAAAAGCTGCAACTTCTCATATGTTTTTAGGAGTAACAGGGGAGCTGTAGCTGTGCTTCAGCAATAACAAGCTGATAGTGTTCAAGTCCCAAGTGGAAGAGAATCAAATCAGAGCTTTGATACCCTGACACTGTTGCAGAAAGGTCTTTGTCGTCTTTTACAACTGAGAAAAAAAAAAAAAAAAAAAACTCCAGGCTTAGAAATGAAATAATAAAAACATCCACCTTTGATTTCTAAATAACTGAAGATTTACTTTGTCAAAGGAGCTCCTCTCCTGAACAAACTCCTCTCCCATCAGCAGTTGACAAAACATGAAAAACTAGAGCAGAAAATTCTGAGACCAGACTTTGCTGCTCCGAGGTTGAGTGCAGGTTCTGGACTGATAACTCAATCGACTCATTGGACTTGAAATACATCTGAACTAAGACTGCACGATATCGGAAAAAACTAACAATGCAATTTTTTTTTTCAATCCTGCGATATATATTGCAATATTAAAAAAATGCAGGAATTTTTACCAGATGACCAGAATAGCACTTTATGTTAATTTATCATTGACATGTACAGTTGTTTGGTGTACATATGTATTATTTTGTTCAAGTTTTTGTTTCTAGTTGTGTTTTTGTTGTTCTTAAAGTTTGAGAGAAAGAAAGAAAGAAAGAAAGAAAGAAATGTACAATTTGAATCCCATACAGTTCTTATTTGTTGGGCTAAACAGTGATGAGTAACGTTTCGAAAGTAATTCTTCGCAGGCATGCACAACACCGGCAGCGCCAGCGACTCACTCCATGTGCTTTGGGTCATGTGCAGGGGTGTGGTTTCCTTCTCTCTGATTTTGATTGACGGCTGGCAGGGTATTCTGATTGGCAACTGAGTAAAGACGGAATGTGATTGGTGGATCACTGCACAGCACATGCAGAGTCAAATGCAGTGTTTGCCAGTCAGCTACCCTTGAAATTAGATGAATTCATTCGCCTCTGACATTGCAGGCTCTGCAATGTCACTATCGCACCCACGTACATCGCGATGACGATGCTCAAATGCAGCCCTAATCTACTCCTGCAAACACAATCCCTTTTCTACATATGTAAACAACATTTCCTCTTTCCTCTGGAGGAGGTTGGAGTTTGACTCTTCTTTTTAGACTTTATTTGACCACTAAGATACTAAAGTCTGTGCAGAGCAAACTAGGAAGACGCTCAAAAGAAAATCACACTCCATATCACAGAAATTATGCATGGCTTTGCATTTAGATTACAAAAAAAAAAAACATATATTATAAAGCAGCAGCGCTTACGTGGAACTAGAAGTAAAATCAATGATTTTATTTCAAACTAACCTCCTGCGCCTCATCCTCGGGCTGCAAACCTCAACTCCACACATCATGCTTGATGCGGCAAACCAATTAGTCGTCCCTTAACAGGTTCAGCGCTCCGGTGTGATTGATAATCTCATTCATTCATTGCCTTGATGGAATCTCATTCCTTTTAATTGATGCGGCGTGATGCATGATTTGAGGTTTAATCGGTGAAACAAGTGTCCCCCTCTCTCTCCCTCTTTCCGTCAGCGCCTCCCCCCTTCATCCTGATTTCACCTTCAAAAACCGTGAATGTGAAACAGATTCAGGTCAAGATAGAGGACAGGGATCTCTTTAATCAGTTAAAGAGCTCATTCAAAGGTTACATTAGCATGAGCTGTGCAGGTGTTCTCTTCTAAAGTCGGTAACTCGAGTAGTTTTGTCCTTATAGCTTGTTGATTCGCAGACAGTTTCCTTCCCTCTCAGTGTTGACAAAGAAAAAGATGTCGAGTCTAGAAACACTTAGAGGTATAATTGGAAAAGCGCCTCTGTTTGCTTTGCCTAGAAGGGATAAAAAAAGGACGGGCCTGCGGCGATTAGCTGAGCTTTTACTACCTGAATCTGCGGTGGCTGTACATTTCACTATGTTGCTCTTTTTGCAACTGACGCCATCCTGTCCTCGAGGCCCCCGCAGGATGTTTGGCTCAACCCTGGCTCATCAATAACTCACCCACCGGCAGCCTGAACTCACCCGCCATAAAAGTAAGAGCGTCAAATGAGGCAGTGACAGAACACGGCACAGGTCATTAATGACTTTGTGGA